AAATTGCAAGTAAGTTTGTTTTGCTTTTGTGCAGCTCATCGGCCCGTACGAGTGTATGCCGATGGAATCTTTGACCTCTTCCATTCAGGTCATGCCCGGGCTCTGATGCAGGCCAAGAATTTGTTCCCGAACACACATCTGATTGTTGGCGGTGAGTCACATTGGCACACGTACACTCTTATCCAGTTTTGTAGGAAAACATACACATCACCTTCAAAAGTGTCCAAAATTTGGAAAAGCCAAAAGTTTTATTTGCATTGTGTTTGTATGGAATATGTCTGTTGACTGCTACATACATGGTGTGTATCTCTTTCAGTATGCAGTGATGCCCTGACGCACAAATATAAAGGCTACACAGTGATGACAGAGGATGAACGTTATGAAGCCCTTATACACTGTCGTTATGTGGACGAGGTGGTCCGTGATGCTCCATGGACCCTCACTCCTGAATTCCTTAAAAAACACAGGGTAAATTAATATTCAGTTCATTGTAGTATAAATAAAATAAAATGATTGATTATGTACTAATTTTAATTACATAAAATCTCATATTTAACCATGACCATTTTGTGTGCTTTTTATTTAACATTCTTTAAAATTTTGACATCCAAGAAATAATGTAATTTGAACTCTTTCTATAGCATGATGAGAGGATAAGTAAATAATTGAATAACTACAATTCAACATTTGGTCACAAATATCAGCAAGCTACTGAGTGCAACCTTAATTTAGGTACTGAGTGAAACCTTAACTTAATTTGAAACCCTGTTACCAGTGTTATTTTAGTATCATTGATTTATATTATAGTTTTTGAATTAGATTTTATTTTCTGCTTTCATTTTAATTTTAACATAGTTTTGTTGAGTATTTTTGTCATGTTTATTGTTTATAATATGTCTATAGTTTTCAAGGTTTAGTTTATAATTTTTGTTTATTTAGATTTAGTTAATTTTATATTGATAAAATATTATTATTAAAATAATAAAATATGATGGTTTTTTTGTTCAGCTAGATGCCAAGGCAATATATATTTTTTGTTTAATTTGAAGAAATTAAACAAACAAAAAAAATTGCCTTGGCATCTAGCTGAACAAAAGAAACATCATATTTTATTATTTTAATAATAATATTTTATCAATATAATAATACAGTTACAAAAGTTGCAAATGACATAAATTATAGAAAATAAAACGACTCATATCAAAATTCATTTGGAAGTGAAGTGACATGTGGCCAAGTATGGTGACCCATACTCGGAATTAGTGCTCTGCATTTAACCCATCCAAGTGCACACACACAGCAGTGAACACACACACACCGTGAACACACACACACACACACACACACAGAACAATATATAAACGTTGGTAACCAATTCCTGCCGGACCTGAGACTCGAACCCGCAACCTTCTCGTCCAACTCTCTAACCATTAGGCCACGACTGCCCCTGGAAAAAAAAGAGAGGTTTAGGCTCATGGAGAAGCTCATCCAGTAACCACAAATGACTAGAAAGATCAATGCAAAAAGTGTGGGATCCATGTGTCATTGTGTCATACCTGTTTATTTATTTTCCTTTTGTCCTCAGATTGACTTTGTGGCACATGATGATATCCCATACACCTCTGCTGGATCAGAAGATGTCTATAAAGATATCAAAGAAGCAGGTAAAGACTTTAACCGCAACCAAAGTGTACACTTATAGAACTGAGGCAAGGACTCAGTTATAAATATGAATTTCTTCTAAATTGTTTGTAAGGAATGTTTGTGGCTACTCAAAGAACGGAGGGGATTTCTACCTCTGATCTCATCACGCGCATTGTTCGAGACTATGACGTCTACGTCAGACGTAACCTGCAGAGAGGATACACAGCACGGGAACTCAATGTTGGCTTCATCAATGTAAGAAAAAACTGTATGGCTTCAAAAGACTAGGAATACAATGAAAGCGGCATTAACTACTGTTACTCTCTAAAAAAATAAAGGTTCCAAAAGGGGGGGGGGTGCAGTGATGCTATAGAACAACTATTCTGGGTTCCCAAAAGAACCTTTGAATAGTTTCTAAAGTGTAAAGAACATTTTAATAATATAAATAACTTTTTTCCATTATAAAGAACCTTGTGTCTAATGGAACGTTTTGATAGGATGTTAAAGATTCTTCATGGAACCATAGATTCCAATAAAGAACCTTTATTTATAAGAGTGTATGGTACTTTGGAGCACATACCCAGCTCCCATTTGGTTTTACGGTACAGAAAAGAGTTGCCAGGACATTCAAAAATATTCTTCAGTGTTCAGTGAAAGTAATGAAATCATATGGGTCTGGCACGACATGAGGAAGAGGAAATGAAGACACAATTTACATCTTTAGGTGAACTATTCCAGCTGTTTTGATTGACAGGAGAAGAAGTATCGCCTGCAAGAGCAGGTGGACAGAATGAAGGAGACGGTGAGGACGGTGGAGGAGAAGTCCAAACATTTAGTACACCGTGTTGAAGAGAAGAGCCACGATCTCATCTACAAATGGGAAGAGAAATCTCGCGAGTTCATCAGAAACTTCCTGGAGTTGTTTGGTCCTGATAAAGCCTGGGTAAATGAGGGACATTAAAGCAGTACTATGTAACTTTTGGCGCTCTAGCGGTTAATAAACAGAACTGCACACATCCCGCGGAAGAACATTCCAACCGAAGCTACTTCTCTAAGTTTATGTCTATGGCGATTCACGCAGGTATGTGTTACTCCGCAGCGGTGACGACCCGACCAGGCTACAATAGTCCAAATATAAATACTTATTATAAGTGTACCGTAGTGATTCGGAATAAGACGACAACGCGGTTTGGAAGATGAATCCATGATGTACTCGCTCATTATAAACATTTTGCAAATTTTGAACACGGAAAAAGTTACATAGTGCTGGGGCATTACACGTGCAGTGCTATTTTGCATGTTTTTTCTTTTTTGCATTTCAAATTGATGTTCTTTGTGCCCTCTAGCACATGATCCAGGAGCGGAGTGGCCGTGTTCTCCAGGCTCTGTCTCCCTATCAGTCACCAAGTACGTCGCCCAGCTCCAGTCCCACCAGAGGTCGCTCTACATCACCTGTCTCCGAATGGCCCCTGCTCCGCTTCCGTTCACCGCCACCTAAAGGAGCCTCTGTCAGCAGCAGTGAGGGTGACGAGGGGGAAAACTAGGTGGAGACTGGCTTCTCTTTCCAACTGCACATTTGCACAGGCACCTTCTCATTTTGTTTTCTGTATTTTATGCACCAAAATGCTTGATCTACAAATGCAAGGTGCTCAAAGATCCAGACTGGCTTCATAATTCTGTAGAAGAAAAATGTAAAAAGCATTGACTTTTATTATAGAACTGAACACTTCATAACTTGTCTTTCAAGTTAAAGGGCTGTTCACACACACACACACACATATATATATATATATATATAAATAACTATAATGATAACTATGTAAAGCTTCCACACCAACACACAATAACATTATGTTTACTATATGCACACAGGCTATGCCACTTTAAATTCTCAAGCTTGATTCTGATTGGCTGCCAGTGTTTTATTGTTCATCAGCTGGGGAAAAAAAAGTCATTTTGAAAGTGATTTTAACAATATTGTTTTTCTGTGTTGTTGTTATATCTGTGATGCGGACTACCCTATTCTCATATGATTAGAACGATTACTAAAACTTCATAGTTATCGTTATAGTTTTCGTCCTTGGTATGAACAAATACATAAAAACATATTTGTGAGTATTTTATAAAACACTGTTTTTCTGAATGAAATGAAGGGTGTACCACTGACCTAATGTATGAGTGTTTTAATAAACTGATCAGGTTAAATACAACACGAGCTGAGAAGCATATTGCGAAGTATGGCATAACACAATCAAGGAACACATAAAATACTAATTACATATTTAATATTATGCTAATATTATTTGTTGACCGTTTCCAGACTGATCGATGGATACTGACAATGACATGTACAGTAAAAATACAGAAATATTTTAAAACTAGAACAAAAAGACTATTATAAATGCCTATATTGAGAGGTGTGCATAAAACATTGTTCTAAATACACACATGCAACACATTGTTATCGACTTATTACCCCAGTCATGAGTCATACATCACTCCATTGTGCTTAAAATGGATCCAAAGCTCACCTTAAAGTGCTACCATTGATTGGGTATTATGTTTCTATCCTCTAAATTCTATCCTCAGTAGAATTTAGCAATGCACTGAAACGAAAATATTTGAAATGCATTCTGAAATTCACAATACACTGGGCAAAAACTGAAACTAAACAATTTAATCAACGAATTATTGATTCAATTATTTGCCAGTATCATCGCATAAATAGTAAAAAAATATATTTGATAGTAAATTTAATTTCATAATAATTTATACTACAAAAGTTTGGGTTGGTATGTTTTTTTAATGTTTTTGAAAGATTTCTCTTATGCTCACCAAGACTGCATTTTTTAAAATAAAAAATACAGTAAAAACTGTAATATTGTGAAATACAATTTAAAATAACTGTTTTCTATTTTTAAATATTATTTATTCCTGTGATGGCAAAGCTGAATTTTCAGCAGCCATTACTCCAGTTTTTTTGTCACATTTATGCAAATATTATTTATGTAATGCATTTATTCAAAATATTTTCCTGACAATTTTGATCTATTTGTTGTATCCTTGCTGAATAAAAGTATTAAAATCTTACTGACCCCAAACTTTTGAATAGCATGTATAATTTATTTGTATAATTTGGGGGATTAAATTTAGCATACAGAAGCCCCATGGTACATCATACTAATAAACTGCTACATTTACATTTATTCATTTGGCAGACTCTTTTATCCAAAGTTACTTACAGTTGGCAATAAACATGAGAAGTGCCCGTTATACAAGGTTTCAGTCATCGTTCAAAATAGTAAAAAGCTAGGACAGGAGGATAATAAAAGAACAGAAAAAGTGAATGCATATAATTTTAATTTGTATTATTATTGGAGGCAGTTAGATACTCACAGAAGAGATGAGTTTTCAGTTGTTTCTTGCTATATTCTCCACATAACCTATATATCCTCCACACTCTCACTATTGTAAAGCTATTATTTTCAGACCTTTAGAAATGGCAGTAAGCAAGTCCTATAAAGGTCAAATATCAAGTTTCCTTATGTGGCAGTGTTCTGTTTAAGCTTGGCTGCTGTAATTCCATCACTATTACTGTAGCAGATACAATAAAGTCATCTGTTGGCTTTATACGTGGATGCATCTCGTGGGTCACTGCTCGGGTTACTCCAGTCATCAGCCTCAGGACCTGTCTGGTAATGTCGCCACGCTGACTTATTGAAGACTGGAAGACGCTCAAAAGACTCACTAGAAAGAGCCTGGAGAGAGTGGGAAGAAAACCATTTCTAGTTTCTAGTTGAAGCTAATGTTATTACTCACAAATAGAAATGTCAATGCAAATACCTTAAGATGAATTACTGCATCTGTCCCGAACCCTTCAATTGAGTACAGGTTCAAGTCTCCCTGAAAGTAGCGTGCATAGAGTCTAGAGATTGGCAGTCCATAGCCAAAACCAGCCTGCAGAGATGATATAAACAGGTTGCATGAAACCACACATACAAATACAGACTTATGCTGTCTGATGGGTAGTTACCAGTGGGACAGCAGTTTGTGAGGGATCCAGACGTGGTGTTGGAGCAGTGGAATACATGTAATTGAAAAGACGATCAATCTTTCTTAAGGGGACACCTCCACCTTTGTCACTAATCTAAGAAGACACATAAACATCAAATTAATAAAGTGCTGAAGTCGCCATAAATATTCATGTTTTTGTGAAACAGTCTTGTGTGGAACCTTTACTGAGAGATCCTCTTTTCCCAGAGTAACCATTGCTTTCACTGGAGGAAGCCCCTCACTGCTGTTTTCATAGAGCTCCACTGTTGCCCGCATGGAATTCTGCAAATGTACACATAATACAGTAACTTACCCAAAAGATCTATAGAAAGTAAAAAGAATAAAATAGCTGACAAAAGTCCACCTAAAACATGATCATTTGAGAAACACTTCATTGCATTCCACTTTAAAGATCACCTAAAAATATGAACAAAGTTTTGGTGAGACTTTATAATTAGGTTTAATTCGTTACCTTTAGATACAATGAACTACCAATGAAAAATACTTTTATAGCATTGATTTACTAATCTAAGTTGATGGTAATTATGCATTATGAATGATTATCAATGTTATTTTAGTATCGTTTAGATACTATACGTTTTTTACTAATATTTTGAATTAGTTTTTATTTTTATATTTTATTTTCATTTTCATTTTAATTTAAGTTTTAGTAATTTTTGTGTTTATGTGATTTTCATTAATTTTCATATATATATATATATACAGTGCCTTGCAAAAGTATTCATTCATTTTTTTCACATTTTATGTTGCTGCCTTATGTTAAACTGCTTTAAATTACTTTTTTTCCACATCAATCTACACTCCATTCACCATACTGGTAAAGCAAAAACAGAATAGTCACAACTTCGTAAATTTATTAAAAATAAAAAACTGAAATAAGTACATTGCATAAGTATTCATACCCTTAACTAAATATTTAGCTGAATAACCTTTACAGTCTCAAGTCTTTTTTTGTTTGATGCGACAAGCTTTGTTCATCAGCATTTGGCCATTATCTGTCATTCTTCTCCTCACCTCTTCACCTCTCAAGCTCTGTCATGTTGGATGGGGGCAGATGCACATTTTCAGGTTTCTACGGAAATATTTGATTGGTTTCAATCCCAGGCTGTGGCTGGGCCACTCAAGGACATTGACAGAATTGTCTATAATTGACTCTTGCTGTGTGCTTAGGGTCATTGTCCTGTTGGAAGGTGAACCTTCTGCCCAGTCTGAGGTTCTGAATGCTCTGGGCTGGGTTTTCATTAAGGCTATCTCTATATTTTGCTGCACTGAGCGTTCCTTCTACTCTAACGAGTCCCTCAGTCCCTGCTGCTGAAAAATACTTTTGGGATGGTACTCTGCAGGGGATGAGCAAAGATGGTTTCCTTCAAACATGATGCTTAGAATTGAGGTTCATCGGACCAGAGAATCTTGTTTCTCAGAGTCTGAGGGTCCTTTAGGTGCTTTTTTTGTAAATTCCAAGTGTGTTTTTATGTGTCTTAACTGAAGAGAGGACTGAGTCTTGCTACACCGCCATAAAGCCCAGATTGGTGGAGTGTTGCAGTGATGTTTGTCCTTCTGTAGATTTCTCCTATCTCCACATATGATCATGGAGCTCAACTAGAGTGCACAAAAAAGGCAGTAGCGCCAAACACTCGTCCAAAAATCCAGTAGACAAAAACATATGGTGCGTAGATCCAAAATATACAAAGATACAAAGATGAAAGAGATCCGCACTCCTCCAAATGCAGCTGGAGTGACCATCATGTTCTTGGTCACCACACTAACCAAAGCCCTTCTACATCAATTGCTCAGTTTGGCCAGGAGGCCAGCTCTAGGAAGAGTCCTGGTTGTTTCGGCAGTAGCGCCAAACACTCGTCCAAAAATCCAGTAGACAAAAACATATGGTGCGTAGATCCAAAATATACGAAGATACAAATATGAAAGAGATCCGCACTCCTCCAAATGCAGCTGGAGTGACCATCATGTTCTTGGTCACCACACTAACCAAAGCCCTTCTACATCAATTGCTCAGTTTGGCCAGGAGGCCAGCTCTAGGAAGAGTCCTGGTTGTTTCTAACTACTTCCATTAAGGCTAACAGAGACTACATGCTTCTGTGACCCTTCAATGAAGCAGATTTTTTTTCTGAACTCTTCCACAGATGTGTGGCTTGACGCAAACCTGTTTCTGAGCTCTACATGCAGTTCTTTTGACCTCAGGGCTTGATTTTTGCTCTGATATGCATTATCAGCTGTTAGACTTTTTATTAAGATGTGTGTGCCTTTCCAAATCATACCCATTCAATTGAATTTGCCACAGGTTAACTTCACTCGAAGTGTAGTAATATCTAGTATTAGTATTCATAACCACTATCCCTCCACCTTTATCTGCTCGTTGAATAGTCAATGTCGGATCATTTATTAATGCTGATAAAGCTTCTCTTTGCACTCTTGTTAAATTCCTTTTCTTGTACAATTCATCACTAGGTTCTTGTAATAATTTTTCCACATCATTTTCTACAAGTCTACAGAAAGTATTCACTGAATGATTATGAACTACTGGTGTGAAAGTACTTTTAGGTTTAAATTGTTGTACATATGGAGTTACATTCGCATTCGAATTAAAAAAACTTCTCAATTTCACATTTCTAAAAAACTTAAACAATTCAACTTTGACCATAAAGGGATTTGAGACATTGTATGGTACAAATGATAACCCTTTACTTAATACTATAGTTTGTTCAATGGATAATTCTTTGTCCGATAAATTAAATACAATATTGTCTTGTTCATTTGAAATAGTACATTCGGATGAAGTTACCTCCCGAAGTCCTTTTCCCCGACGCCCTCTTCTCGTTGGTTTCTTCCATTTTGATTGCGTTTGGAACGACGGGGCTGGCCCAAAAAAGGTTTTCTCTGTCGTGATGGATTTTGAGAAGACGACGTGTTGGAATCATCTGATTCTGAAGCACTCGTAAATCTTAGTCCCCCTCGCTGTTGTTGAGGTTTGGATCTCTCCGACATCCAGGTGTAGACTTTGTGATCTTTATAGTCCATGGTGTCTCTTTTGAACTTGTTAATCTTGACATTGAGTAACTCCATTCTGAATTTATCAAGTTTTTCTTCCATTTGTCTCTGAAGATCATCCAGTTGTTTCTTATCATATTTGTGATTCATTTCAGTCTTATAATTTTCAATTTTTTCAGATGATGACTTTGTTTCTTTCTTAGTGAACTCAATGATCAAAAGCATTAGATTCATCGAACAATGGTTGAGAATCTCACACCACTTTTTGCAGAATTCAGAATCATCTCGTCCAATCGTCGGTTCTTTTTGGATTCGCAATCCCCGTGGTATCCGACCATTTCTGTAATACTCACTCAATGTTTGGGCATGTAGTTCCATTCGAATGCCTTTTTGTTGAAGTGCCAACAGCCTTTGTTCCATTTGTTCAATCGTTTCTTTTGTAGAAATTGAGGACGTGAGTATTTGGTTTTAAGTATATAGTTAAAACTATATAGAGTATATAGTTTTAAATCATTTTATTTCCGTTTTAGTTATTTTAGTACACAAAGTTAGCATAAAGTAAGTAATGTCTTTGCAACTAGCTGAAATAAAGTTTTTTTTTCAACTTAATATTTTATTTCAGTTAACATTTATTTCAAGCAACAAAAATGTTCATTTATTATTAATTTTAGTTTTAGTTTACTATAACAATCCTGATGTTTATTAATTATATTCATACTGCCCTCCTTTTGATGAAAGTATACCTTGAAAAAAGCTGAGTACAAAATGTTTGAATAAATAAAAAAATAATTTGTATTCCTTCTACTGTATTATTATTAAACACCAATTAACTATGAATAATTGTTTATTTATAAAATAGCATTAACCTAGATTTTTAAATGATATTAAATGCTAAAATTTGTTTATTTTCTTTGTTTGTATCTAATGCATAAATTAATGCAAACTAATTGAACCTTATTGTAAAGTGTTACCCGGTTTTCTTTCTCCTTTTAAATTAGCCAACTGTCCATTTTTCTTGCCTTGAAGAGCTCAAACAGCATGTGGAAAAGATGAGAGGGCACATAGACCACCTGTATAGGCTTCTTTGGAGCTTTGGCTAGCAGACAGAGGGAAAACAAGATAGGAAGGCACAGATAGATTAAAAGAAAGTATGATTTTGATATATGCTATTAAGGACAATAAAACCGATAACAGTCTCACAGTTGAGTTCCCCGATCTTCAGTTCAGGTGCTGTCATGTAGTACTGCTCAGAGAGCATCTTTGCTGTCTCATATGCATCTGAGATAAGAGATCAGAATCTTCAGAACCATGTTTATTTTATGTATCTATGCATTTTAGGTATGTTTTTCTCACCTCTCACCACCTCAGCCACGTTGCAGGCTGGGTCGATGCTTCCGATGTGTTTTGGTTGCGCAAGACAAGCGGCGTCACCAAACAGAAGAGCTACAACAAAATAGAGATCTGCTTACTGCTGTACTTTAGTGGTCTGAGACAATATAAAGACATGTCATATTTAATTAATGTAGTATGAGTGACGAATGGAGCTTAAACGTAGTTCAGGCAGACCACCTTAAGTCAGCTTCAGTTATGTTGCACAAACACGCGTTAAGACAGCTTTCAGTCTGTCACACTGACACTCGCTTCTAGCTCGGTGCCAGACAGCTTCAAAATGTAAATTGTCACGCAGCTACTCGCTTTCATCACAAACACTCACACAGCCAGCTTTCAAACAGATGAAATGATTTGTTCCCCACCGAATTTCAATTCAGATTCAGTTTAGTGATCTTGAACTCACAATTCACCGCATTGACCAGTATAAGCAGCTTGATTAGAAGTGACTTCAGAACAATACAGTCAAGATCAGCCCTCCCTACATGAAGGAGTGTGACATCAGTAGGATCAAGCATCTTCACCACACCTGGATATACTTCACTCTCCATTCATCTGAATGTGTCTTCATAAGCTAAGCTAAGTTTTCCTTTTCTGCTCATACTAAAAGTTAACAGGTTATTGGCAACGTGCTTGTTTCTAAGTCATTATCGGAACAGATACTGTTTAGCAAATTATGTTTATCATTGGAACATTCTTGTTGTTTGGCTAAGCTGTTTTTAGGAAACGTGCTGATGATCAATAGGGATAATAAATTGAGCATCATTCTTGTGGATTTGCTTGTGGACAGCTCAGAATCTGAACCCTTCAGAGCAAAGCCTGCCGCCAAAATAATGTTCAGGACCTCGACAATAATTTTTATCAAACAGAGTGGTCCTGACTGAACTTAACATTTATCAAACAGGAATGTGATGTCACTCACTGTGCTGGTTGATGAGCATGCGGAAAGAAATGCGGTTGGTGTAGAAGCGGTCAAGGAAGTACTGCACATTGCTGCTGATGAAGGGGTCAAAACCAAACTTCTCTTTGTATTCGATGACACCCTGGGCCACAGTGGGCACCACGTCATTGTGTCTGTTCCGAATCTTAATCAGGATCTCTAGGAAGCTGAAGCCCACAATAATGAGTTGTTTACCACTGGAGGACTTCAGTTGTTGAGACAAAATCAGGTTTGAACTGTTATACCAAATTATGCAGCAAACATTCATATTCAGTATAAATTCACGTTTAAAGGAATAGCTCACCCAAAAATGAAAATTGCTGAAAATGTGTCTATTACAAACACACAGCTTTTCACTTCGCAAGACATTCATTGATGGACTGGAGTCGTGTAGATTGTTGTGATGCTTATTTTAACCTTATTGAACTCTCATTCTGATGGCAACCATTCACTGCAGAGGATCCAATGGTGGGCAAGTAATGCAATGCTAAATTTCTCCAAATCTGTTTCCGATGAACAAATAGATTGAACAAATAAATCTTGGATGGCCTGAGGGTGAGTGAATTTTTAGCAAATGTTCATTTTTGGGTGAACTATTTCTTTAAATGCACATCCCTTTAAGCAAGATAAAAGAAAACTATTTTAGACTTTCCCTGGCAAAATTGTATGCGCTGAAAAACAGGACAGCAAAGGCTGCAGACTCACTCATTAAGGGTGTGGGGATCTTCTGGACTTCTTGTCTCGTACTCTAACAGCTCTTCAAAACTGTGGCTGTACCTGATACCACAGAAGAAGAAAAAACATGCATTAAAAAGTTACATAATACAGAACTTGTATTAAATATAATTATATAACATACAAAACTTTAATAAGGCTCTTCTCTGCTGACTATGGGCTACTCTACTTCCAAACCTAAACACTGCACATTTGCTATTCAACACAGCACTTTGGGATTAGCATTCTAATTAATGCACTACTTTTAGTATTTCATCAGTTAGCAGCATGTATACTCTGCACAGTATGCACTAAATATCTAGATTTGCGAAAATGAAGCAGAAGATGTCTACTGCACTAATTTAATGTGCTCAACCTTTTCCAGTCTGAGCCACAGTTTTTAAAATCTGATTAGACTGCCAAAATCTAAAAACACTGCTTTATTCAAAAGTCGATACATTAAAAAAAAAAAAAAAAAAAAACTCTGGATGCAACTTTGAAGACTGTGATTGGTTGTTCAAGAAGAAAAAAATAAGAGCACTGTTAAATAGGGTCTATTTTTTCCCTATTTTACCCTAATCACTCATACACAGACACAGACACACACACACACACACACACACACACACACAAACACATAAAAATGTTGCATACTACTATATGTCAGTCGTGGAATAATTAAGTCAAGTCACCTTCACACAGTGCTTTGTACATTACAGATTGTTTCAAAGCAACTTCACTGTGTTAAACAGGAAAGTAACAATCAATGATGCAAACTTCAAATAGGAAGCAAATCCAATTTCCGCTGTAAAGCAGTTCTCATAAGACAATATTGTTATTATTCAGCTCAAAACAGTTCAGTGTTGATTCAGTTCAGTTCAATGACTATAAAGGTCATAAATCATGAAACAAGTTCAATTCAATGATAAGCAGCTATAAAAGAAGACAGCACTTATGAACGAATGCAATTCAGCTATATAGCAGCTCTACTGAAGACAATACAGTCATTATTCAGATCCATTCAGATCAAGTTTTCTTCTCATCCAAAAGAGTCAGTGCAGTCAAATGAATATTAAATGTTGTTTTGACCCAACTAAGCAAGTAAAAAGCAACAGTGGCAAGGAACCCAAACTCTGTCAGGTGACACAAACCTTGAGAGAAACCAGTCTCAGTCGGGGGACCAGTTCTCCTCTGTCAAAATGAACAAAAAGGGTGTGGAATAAAGCCTTTTCACAAAATAGTATGTTGTACTCCAGGGACCTTATTCTTAAAGCTTCTAAGAATCCTTTCAGAGAGCTCCTAATTTAGCTTAAAAATTTCTAACTAGGAATCTTAGCTTAAGAGTGATTCAGGACCAATCTGACAGCAACTCTGAGCAAGGAAAAGACAAAAATGGTCATCTTAGTGAGAAAGCAGGGCTGACCCCGTTGCTAGATATGACCAATTCTTTTAAAGACTGTGATTCAAGAAGAAAAAAATAAGAGCACTGTTAAATAGGGTCTATTTTTTCCCTACTTTACCCTAATTACTCATACACAGACACAGACACACACACACACACACACACACACACACAAACACAAACACAAACACACAGTGCTTAACAAATTTATTAGACCACCTGCCATAATAAAGAGAGAAAACTAATATTTTAGGAATCTGTCAAAAACTTTTTTTAAAACTAAAAATAGTTATTTATTGGGCAAATAAACTAAAACAACTAGTTTTTATTCACACATAATAACAAAAAAACATTTATTTTTTATATTTTATTTTTTTAATTTGTATGGCTTCCTTTGCTCTTGATAATAGCTTGCATTCTTGCTGGCATTGTTTTTATGCACATTAACACTGTCTCTGTTGTTATTGACTTCCAAATAGTTTCTAGTTGTTCCCAAAGACTTGCTTTGATTAAACTTTTGTGCAATCTATCTTTGAATCCATTAAATCCAAACAATAATTATATTTTAGCATTAGAAACACTACTGTGACTAATATATATATATATATATAT